TAATAGCTATATTTGCATTCAGAGCTTTCAAGTCATGGTCACCAAATCCCCGGGTTACTCCTATCGTGGCAAGGACTCTACTCTGAAAATAACCAAAGCCAAGATAATGACCGTTTTTCGGGATGAATCACCCTGATGACGGAGGCAGTATGACCTCTGAAATGTTGGTTAACATCGACCAGACTACACAGTGCAACAACCCAGAAGATAGAAATCTTCATATTGTCAATTTGTTTGGCACAGGAGAATCAGGAAATACATCCCTGAATTCATTCTGGCAAGTTAAGAACAAGATGCCAGGTAATGTTTTATGATGAACACTCACTGCACATGCGAAAAAGACATCCTTGTACTGACTGTTGAAAGACAACTGACTGAGCTACCTGGATGATAGTATGTACCTAACAACATGTATATAAAAACAATCTGTGATTTAATCACACATATGTTAATTACTTTTTACACAGCAATTCTTAAAACAAATACACTACATTTAAGTTAATATTTTGAGCTCATTGCAGTTATTTTTGTGTGTGTTTATCCTTAATTGAGTTCTGTCATTATGGAAAGTAGGTCTAAAACGGGGTTTAAAAAAAGCAGTGAAGAGCATGGCTGTTTATAATTTGTAATTGGTCACATATAACGAATAAAATAAGTACAATTAAATCCTTACCCTCTTTCCTTCACCATACACAACAGGAATTTTTAGATCTTCAGGTGTCACAGTCTTGTAAGCCCAACCTGTCATGTGGGCATCTCGATACAAAATCCTCTTTCCCAAATCTCTTTGGTTTGGCCTTCTGTTGTAATCTAGGTGGGTGAATTCCCCACCTAGGAGTTCTGGCTGCAGTGAAGCCTGAGAAAAATTGCACTTATATGTAATGCACTGCAATAAATTTGGAACAATTATTATATTTATTCATGTACTACATGCACTTTTTTTCAATTTTTTGTATAAAAAAACATGTGTCTCATATTTAAGTACTTAATTAAAGTAACACAAAATGCTAAGTGTGGGAATACACATGTTGCACAATACAGCTGGTAACACTGTTAGCATAAGCTTATCAGCCATTAAGCGAAGCAAGACGCGTGATTTTCAAAATGTCCCATTTTCATGCTGGAACTTTGAAGTGGGTTGTATTGTAAATGGTTGTCAATCACAGAAAAACAGTCCTTGCTAAATATAGCATTCTCAGCCACACAATTCATTTACAACACATTTTTCAGGATCAATACACTACCTTTGATGTGAAAGCTATATAGATGAAAATAAGTATACAAACTCTGTTAATTTGCTTTTCAAACAGTTTTTGTCTCATAAATTTATAACAACAGATGTTAAAGATACTGAATTTTAATAAAGTACAACTTCTAAAATCATACAGTTGCCATAACAAATATAAATGCTGGTACACTTTTAATATGCCACTGCAAAAGCAATAACCTGAAATATACCACATAAGTGGTTTAAAGTATTCAGATTTAAGCTCATGTTTTCTTTGCTAACTTAAAATGTAAAAAATTCCAATTGATTCAGTTCTAAGTGACCAAAATGAAGCCAAATCTATAAAGGAAGTCTTCCAACTTACCAGCTGTCGAACTCTCTGCCTTTCGGTTTCTGGCGTAAAATCATTTGACAATGGAATGGCATGTCTGTTTTTGCACAGTACTGCTCGTGAGTCGCCAGCATTAGCAATGAACAGTTTTCCAAGGATGAACAATGCAACTAATGCTGTGCAGCCACCTTTGACTTTGTACTTCTGTTTGTCTTCTCCAATTAACTGGTCCTGTGACAATTAAAGAAAAGCACTGTTGTTGTTGCATGACATTCACATCCAATCCACAGTTACAGGTATCCTACTACAATTTTGTTTCAGAAGTTTGAGCCAAAACTGTATTTGTATTTGAACAATTCAAGAGAAAGTTTGAAATCAGAAATATTTAAATTTAAAGGGAACTTGTGCTGATGGCAATGATATAATTAGTAAAAAATGATTATGGGACTTAATGAATATATATTTTTCCATTACAGATAGAGGCAAATAAATGAATGGGAGATTTTAAGGGAAGACTAACAGCCTTTTCTAAACTACAAAACACATGATAACAAGCTGCTTTTTAATATCATATTTTAACTTTATGATCCAGCCACACAGAAAGATACAACCTTAAAAAATGTTATATCATTAATGTCTTGATAATTATAATATTAATGCTAAAAATTCAAACATTATAATTCTGACACAGCTTGGCCCCATTAGTTATGAAAAAGTTCTATCAATTAAACAAATTATGCAAATTGGATAATAAGAGAAACAATATCAAATTACTCTATTTCTAATATGTGCTCCATTCCCATCTTAATTACTGTACTTTCTGCCACACAATTAGCAAACAAATCTTGGAATTTTAACAAGAAAGGAATCCCATCACAATACTGCGTAAAATAAAAAAAACTAAGATATATTCATGCACACTATTATTAAAGTATTTCAGTATGTTTTGAGGATTACCATATCCCAAAATGCTGATTCTAAAGCTCCAATGATAAGTGCCTCATTAGTCACTTCTTTCTCGGGAATGAAGTATGCAGCTCCACTCTTTGCTGATGCCTCTAGCTGTATGTAACCTTCTAAAGGTGGCAGCAAATGATCAATCACATCCACCAATTTCTCCTGTATATGAAAACAATGTTATTTAACATGTTCACAATCTCTACTTCGCAAAAACCTAAGATTAAACACAAAACAGACTGCTGTCTGTTTTTATGAGATGTACAGAAACACAATGACACAGGCAAACATTAATTCTATCTCACCTCCTCAAACATCTGTTTATGTTAATTTTTCTTCTGGATCATAATGCCAGTTGGACTTACAGGTAGATACAGTTTCAGACAACAGACACCAAAAAAACCTCAAATTGCCTATGATAAAATTCATTTGGAAAAAGGATTTTAATATTTGAAACAAACAGTTACCAACAGAATTCAATTTTACTGTACATAAATCACAGCATGCTCTTGGGAGTTTACAATTTATAAACTAATTTGTACTGGCCTCATTTCAAAGCCTAATTTCTTTTGCTGTAAGTATACAGCTCTATTGCTTCATACATTACTGCCAATTATTGCCTGGAATAGACAACTTTGAGTTAGGGAACAAATTTTTCTTTCCACACATGAAAGGTATTTTCTAGGTATTTATATACACCTCAAACAGCCAAATGATATCATTCTGGAGTAATTTCAAAATTCTGAAATTCTTTTGTAATATTACAAAAGTATAATATATTGCTAAAAAAACTAGAAGGCTGATGATAATGTTCTTCTGGGCTTTGGAACCATGTAGACTCATCAATATATGCATCTACTGTTGAGTCTACATGGTGTCAAAACCCAGATCATCATAAACCTCAAATCTCACAACACAAGACAGGGCTGTTATGTGAAACACACTCACATGCAGAATATGATGAAGCTGATTGGCAGCGGCTACTGCAGCTCCTACGCCTGCATGGCCATCAAAGAGAGAAAAATAAACATAAGGCAGGCATGTTGCAGAATTCAATTGCTCTGAGGTTGACAGGAGTGTCTCAAAGTTTCGTCTGACACCTCTCATGCTCCTGTCTCTTGATTCAGGACGCTCCAGCATAACCCGTCTTAAGCAGGCTTGATCTTCATTCCAGACAGACTTTCCAGCATTTACTGCTCTGCAAACATGACAACATAGGTTGATTCAAATAAACCAGTTAGATTACACTTAAATCACAAACAGACTTAAAACATACCACAGCACAAGTTCATTGCAGTTTCTCCTTGGATGATGGATATTGCCGTCTCTAATGTTAGGAGTGCAATATGCATGACAATTAATATTCTTAGTAGTTGTTCTATCATGGGTTCTGAGCTTCAGTATTTATGTACAACAGAATAGAATTTATTTAAAATCCATAGATCCTTCATATGCCTAAGCCAAGAATGTAGAACATGTCATAGCACAAATATAAAACTCTTTTCTGATATAAAATATAAATTACATAATTGTGACAGTAATTTACAGTTAACTACACTATTACTGCAAAAATAATTACACAAGAAAACATAACTACTATTGATTATATGTGTTTATAACAGCCAAGAATATATGGTTGAGGTAAATTTTTCTATGGAGTAGAAGTGAGATAGGAGATACTTTAGTGCTGACTGAAACTTCTTTATATAATGATTCAGACTTCTTATAGTGGGGGGAAATTACTGAATACCTTAGTTCCAGTACAGTAAACTCTTTTTTGATATTTACTGAGTTCAGTGTTTGGCACATGAAAGTTATATCTTGTACTTATATTGTGGATATCTGAGTTTGTTTGAACTTTTTCTATGTTGTCCACTACAAATAATAATAATGACAGCAAGAATTTGCTGGATAGTGGAAGAATATTACATTTCTTGAACAATTTCCTACATGAGGTTCTCCTTTTAGTGCGTCATTATTCTAATGATTTTCTTTTGAACGTGAAATATGCAACATGGAGTTTCACTTGTAAAATAATAAGGGTCATAAGTGCAAGCTGGTATCTACTCCATAAATACACTCACAAAATCTACATCTGCTACATGTAAAACCTTGTACAATCTCGGTAAAATCTCTTTAAAATTTTCTATGATTCACACTGAAATGGCAGAAGATCCTGCAGAATAACAGAACAAGAAATAATGGATAAGCCTTGCAATTTGAACATACAGCATAGAAAACAATTAGTAAGGAAATGACAAACACTCAATGTGCAGTTACATGACTCTTTTGCTTGCAATATATTCAGACAGACACCAATTATAAAGATATATCTGTTTCTCTACTAACAAATTATGAACAAATACTTTATGTTTGCCTCGCAAATTCAAACTTGATGACAGATACTATTTCACTTAAGTTTTGTGTTGGTTTGTAGTAAGCATATAAAGAAGTGAATTCTGTTACAAGTTTGGCACCAATAATTTTATGCACTTGTGGTTTATTTAACAAAAATGCCAGTAGCTTAGATTAAATAGCATCAAAGGCAATTATTAATATAATGTAAGTGCATGCTAGACTTAGATATAACTGAAACCACTGCAGTCTACCTAACCTCTCACAATTCATCTGTGTTCATGATTTGCTATGGCTCTTACTTATGTCACACAACAGTACATGCATCATAAAAATAAAAACATTTTATGTTACATCAAGCAAAAGGGTTACCATTCCATTTGATCATCCAATGAAACCCTTTCTTTCTTACACAAACTACTTTGAGAAGAAGCTAAAACATTCCACACTTCAGGAGTCAGAAAATAAACCACTTTTACATTTTTATTAGGTAGATATCAAATGTTTCACTGGTGGAACAAACATACAAAACACACATAACCTAGGCAAAATGTCATTTAGTTCATTATTAAGTGGGTACTTATAGTCTGGTTTAAAAAATATACAAAACCGGTCAAAAATTACGATTAAAAAAATAAATTTGTACACATCCCGAGCTAGGAAAGCGTGGCGAAGATATCAAAAGGTCCGGTTTTTTATTAAAGAAACTGAAAACTTAAATACAATTACTTACTCAGCATAACCGCTGTTCCATGGCAGCTTGGAAATGTCTCTCGGTACAATAATCGGGCGAATGTGATGGTCTGCCGAAACTAGAATCTCTTCATCTGTATGGAATTGTAGGAAGTGTGGTCTGCTATACGGAAATTTTGGGGCGAAAGTCCTGTCATCAGAGCTATCAGAATCCTTTAACACTGGTAACGGCTCAAGCCCTCCGACGACATTAAAGATAGCATTCCTAAATCGACTGAGCATGGCAAGGTGGAACTGAAAAACCGCTGCTAATAAATTTCGTACAAACAATATAAACAGTTCCATACGATTAAATACCTCAGCCGGAAGTTTCCATTCTCCTAGACGTGGCAATAGTCAAAAACAGTACAATATAAATATAGGAAGTAGCATTAATAGCGGGAAAACTAGAGATAAATACACATATATAAAAGAACATATGTCGTACACGTTTATATAAAACAAGGAAATCATAAAACAAATGACTATTTACGATATTTGAGTCTATTCAAGTGGCACTTCAGTGTAGACAACGTCGTAATCCTACACACACGAAATTACTTCATACTGCTGATATCTGTTGAACTATGGGACGAAGGAACACAGATTGATGATTCTATGCTATGAAATGAGTTGTAGCGCCGTGTAGTCTGGTAAATGATTATCGATGCTTCAGAGGCACTTTCCGCCTCCATCATCGCCCTGATGCATTGAGAATCTCAAATCCTACTCAATGCCATTAAATTGGTAACTTCGAGATGGCATAAGACATCAAGCGCATATCATACTACATCTATCCGCAGCAATATTAATTACTACATAATAGTCCAACATCACCTAAGAGCTAAATCGATAAAAGCGTTTAGTATCTTTTTTCAAGTAAGAATGTGTGATTCCTCGTTGTCTTCAACCAATTTGTCGTCAAAAAATGACGTCATCAACAATGTCAACAAATATTTGTTTACACGGCATTGTTGTGGAACACAACAATGTCGAGTAAACAAATATAACCTTTCACAACAAAGAAATCAAAAAATATCAAGCCAGTCGCATTATCACTGCTCCAGAAGGAGCACTTCGCATTCTTGAATAATGACTGACAGTTGGCCTAAAACATCAGAAAAGTGAAAGAAGACGTTATCAAGTATTTGAAGTACCAACTCCAACAACTTCAACAAGGTAAACTGATACGCATTCGATATATTACGATTACGAAAACTATTATGAAAACTGACTTTATGATCGATTTTAAGACGAAGATTTGCAGGGGTGGGGCTGGACGTAAAAAGTTGACTGAACAAGAACTGTTGACTTCTGAACAGCGACGTAAAGAACTACAACATCAGACATATTTAAGAAATAACTATTCTGATTTTTCCCATTGCTCAGACTCACGAGCAGCCACTGCACAATATGTACTGTGTCTCAGCCACAATTAACAAGCTGTGCCAGTCCTGTATTTTTTAATAATACGAAAATTAAAATTACTACAAAATTTAAATCTGCATTGAAGATATGCCCATGTTCCATAATCATCTAAACAAATGTATTTTATTACTGAAAACTGCTAGATTTCTGCAGTGCACAACGCAACTGCTGTAAACTGAAAATATAAATATTACATCCCCAGTTAAAATACAGATAATGCACATCTGAATTTAAATTGTATTTTACAATTTATATACAACATATCCTATTGAGAAAAATATGATGGATGACATGAGTATATTCATTGTAGCATCTGGTACCAACTATTAAATATCCCTAACAAACTTACTACAAATCAGGTTGCCCTGCACATTATTCTATTTTAACATTCCACCAGTAAACTGTAGTACAGGCATACCTTGGAGATATTACAGGTTCGGTTCCAGACCACCGCAATAAAGCGAGTCACACAAATTTTTTGGTTTCCCAGTGCATATAAAAGTTATGTTTACACTATACTGCAGTCTATTAACAGATATAATAATAATGAAAAAGTTTAAAATATTGCTAGAATTACCAAAATGTGACACAGACACACGAAGTGAGCACATGCTGTTGGAAAAATGGCGGCAATAGACTTGCTCAACGCAGGGTTGCAGCAAACCTTCAATTTGTAAAAAACGCAATATCTGCGAAGCGCAATAAAGTGAAGCATAATAAAATGAGGTATGCCTGTATATTACATTAACTTCTTATGAGATGCACAAAATATCCACTAACAGTTTTGAAATAACTTAGAAAAATGTATGAAAGCTTTTAATATTATTCACATCGAGAAATACTCCCTTTCCAATCTGATGTATAAACTGCATATCATATTTGTTTATTAGTGAAATGTTCAATTACAGCATAATGTATCTATGAAGATATAGAAACATTCTAAAAATTCTGGAATAGGCTCAGCATCAAATTTGACTGATTTTATGACAGCAAAACCACTTCATAACAAAAGATACAACAAGTAACTTCAGAGTGTGCACTCACTCCACCTGGAGGTTAAGAAAATTCAGCACAGTGAAAATTATAATTTGGTTCATTCTTTCATAATTAATAATTATTTACAAGACCCAGACCAGACATAAATTTAACATAACAATGTTTGTTCTATCAGGTTACCTGCATTTAATGCCAATTTTATAATCATCCAAACAGTACACTACAGGTATCACATTTAAGTCTGAAACAATTGGAAATGTATGTTGGCCAAAGAACAGATAGACGAACAGCTTCCTCAACACTGGATTGGAAGACAGGGACAAATGGAATGACCACCATGATCCCAACATTAAACTTCTCAACTTTCACCCATGGGGTAATCCTACAGCTTAGCTGTAAGCTGTTTAAGTAAACAATGTTGAATGTCTTCAAAAACAATTTATCACTGCATCCAGTGACATACCATAAACAATTTGTCCCATTCTCTGGGACTGACAAAAATGTTTGCATCAGTGTGAGTGGTGACATACCGAGTATATCTTGTAACAAACTGTGTCATTATTCCTATATTACCTATGGATCCAAACTCATAGAACACTCTGTAGGTGTTCATCATCCTACGCTAGTAGCAGTATATGAAACACATTACAAGAATGCTGGCAGAAGCAGTGCTTTAGGTGCAGTGCTGTCTTCATTTACATTATACAGCAAAATTCATCACAAATATAAAGGGACATAAGTTAGTGGACAGTACAAAAAATGTTATAGCCTAACAAAACTGAAAGACAATATCAAATTATGTTCGTAGTTTCTCTATGATTTTGTCAACTTATGTTTACAATTGCTCATTTCTTCCACAGTTGAAAGTCCAGACAGTGGAAAGAGTTTAGAAAAAGACTGTGTTTACAATAGTATCAGACCTGTACGCACTACGCTTCACACTGCTTGGAAATTATGATGCTCTATGAATGCAGACGTATTTACATACTGTATGGACGGACAGCCATAACTTTTAAAATATAACTTTCAATATGTATATATATATATATATTATGGTCGATCATTTTATCACCAAATACAATTTGTTTTCTGAAAACACAGCTGCATTTGATCACTTGTGATGGTTGTGCTACAATAGTTTGTTGCCACACATGATAATTAATCCTATATTTAAGACAGTATGTTTCTTCAGTAACGTTTTTTCTCACTTGCTGGTACTTCGTCTATAAGTACTGACTCACACACTTACACTTCACACTTTCACCTTGGGTTTAAGTTCTTCAGCAACACCACCCCACTTAAGTTTGTAGGTCCGTGTACGCCATCTTATTGCTGGATCCCAAAGAGCATGAAGGAACAAATACGGACTGCTACATTCTCGAAATAGCCACCCCATAACAAAATCAAATTTGTTAAAGGGTAAAGAGCCATTCTGTGATAAAAGAATATTTATTATTAATAGTATTAAGAACAAGGGCAACAATACCTATTTTGTTTAAAATACACCACCCACCAGAAGAATTAATGAGAAAGCTCTGTGTTTAAATTTCAAGGATATCACAGAAACATGATTTACAATTAGCATGCGGTTATGTGACACACACCAAGTAGCCAGTGGCATGGTTACTTGACAGCAATGCACTTTTTCTATTAAAAGCAAACATTTGAAACATTACTAACAAGAATTAATGTTTTTTGGACACTAACAAAATTCATGAGGAAGAAGGAAGGGCCCAACACAAAATTAAACATAAAAAGAAGATTTCTGTCTTCTGGGTTGTTGCGCCGTGAGGTCTGGTCGATGTTAACCAACGTTTCAGAGGTCATACTGCCTCCGTCATCAGGGCGATGAATATAGGATTTGCTACTACCACCAAGATCTGCACCGGCGGCGGCTCCAGGTGGGCTTGCGCCCTGACCCTTCCACGCACACCGCCGTGCCCTCCTACTCGCCGGGGCTTCAGCGTTAATGCCTTTGCCTTCCGGCGGCCGGGTATAGGCATGGAGCTTTGGCGCCATCCATTTTCAGGGCTGATGAATATCACCCTGATGACGGAGGCAGTATGACCTCTGAAACGTTGGTTAGCATCGACCATACTACACGGCGCAACAAATCAGAAGACAGAAATCTTCATACTCACCGCTGTGAAAACCTCAAATCTTAAACATAATAAAATACATAAGTATTAAATACTGTAATGGACAAAAAATATCCACCTGCTAGGGCATTTTTAGGCGAGTAAAAATCAAAGATGATAATTAACTGTAAATTTAAAACAGGAACAACTGCAAAGCTGACAGCAATAACAACAACAATTGTAAATGTGTTCAGCAATATGGAAAGGAAAGTGGGCAATAAGATTAAATTAACGACTATAGTTCCCCATGTGTAATAAGGCCATGTGGACTGTATCATTATGTGATTTCATTACGTACTAGCTAATTTGGCATAGGCCTGTAGAATTTGACTCCAACTTTGCAATGAGCCACTGAAATACATACTATCAATTTTCAAAAGGCTTTGCAACACACAAAAGATCAAGATGATTCTGATACAAGTCATTTTGGTAAGCCTTTGGCTAATCCTTTCCCTAACCTCTCTTACTTTCAGTTCATTTATAAACATTGGAGTTCCTTCTACTCTGCAAATCATCAGCTCATATAACAGAAATGTCTGCTATACTATGTTACTTTGTAACACATTATGTGCCATGAAAAACACAAAGAGACATACTCTTACCCTATCAGGGTATTCCATGGGCAGTCTCAAACTGATATATTAGACCCTAAACCAATTAATGCAGAGAAAGGTTTCACTTCAATGTAACAAACTATATACAACATAATCATAATTCTTCCTTTTCTGTGATAAACTAACCTAGTATCAATGTTGAGTATCTCTGCTGTCCTACAAAGATTTATGAGATGAGTGGTTAGAAAGTGCCAGACATTCTTGATCTGATACTGCACACCACCATTAAATACTTTAATAAACAGATGAACAGATGGCAGCCTGCATAATAATATTCTCTGTATGTGATTGAGTAAAAAACTGTTACTGCACCTGAATAATAGAAAGCAAGATCCAGTCGAGAAGAAACCAGACGAGGATGTGCACCAAGTAGAAAACTAGAGGATCCCATCTAAATAGGAAGGAGACAGCCCATGATGCACATGCTCCTATTACCATACACTCTGACAAGGGTTCCAGAAGAATGGTATGAGGTACCATGGCAACCCGCAATTTCGCCCATCTATAATAAACGGTACAAAAATATATCCTTAATTACTTTGTTTGAATCTACTGTGCTTGATATTACTAAACATGGAAAGTTAACAGAGGTTTAACACTTAAAGCACAATTTAAAAAACATGCAAAATTGTCATTTAGGGAGTAGGCCCAACAGAGCTTTGTTTTACCTGACAACAGGGGCAGATCTCAGTCTCAAAAACATCACGTTTTTAAGTTAGGATGATGGATAATGTTCAAGAAATTTATTTTAGTGTGGATTTAGTATACAAGTAGCCCCCTTCATCTACATATAAAATATAAGTATAATACTATATCCTTTCTTTTTGCATGATATATCTTCTGTGCACCAGAAAAGTTAATTCAAATTATGATCCTTTAATTGGCCAGTGAACAAACATTTCATCTCCAGATTCCTAACTGCAGCAGAAGGTTATGGAATCTCTTTTACACAAATACAGATTTTTAGACGACAATCTTCTACAAAGCTTATTCCATACTATTCAGAAATGTTGCAAAGTATAACACCACTTCATCATCATTCATAACACTGACCTGGTCAATCGAGCCTGAAAACTGTTTATTTCACACACACCAGAGTTCTGCCACGCTGGTTGACTGCTGACACACATCCTCCAACCCCTTTCTTTTAATGACTTGGCAAGAAAGAAATCTTCTGCCAAATAACAGCTGAATGCTTCAATTCCTCCAACTTCATTAATTAGTGCTTTGCGCATCAGAGCAGACATCCCTGTATGACAATTCACTTGGAGAAAATCAGCAACTAAATAGATGCGTGCTTGTGCAGTACCAAAATAAACCTGAAAATTAACAAAACCAACATACCTCTTTGAAACAGAGCACTATACAGCTTGGTATTAGAACAGAGCCAGTTTATCTAAATCAATATCAGCCTTCATTTATAATTATTATTATTATTTGGGGTGCTAATAAAAACAAATTGAACAAAATGGGTTATGGGCTGCAACATCATGTAGTCACATATTTGGTACGTAATCTTTCA